GCAAAGAGTGAAGAACAGCTGATGCAAAAAATAAAGAAATAAATATAGTAATTGTCCAACACGGAAGCACCTACAGTTTTGGAAAAAATCAAATTAAACTTTAATGACCACTGCTGGAGAACTAGGTCATTGCAGCAAATAGAAATAGCGTGACGAAAATGTAATAATATAGAATTGAAAGAAGAGTATAAACAGCGGGACAGAATATCCGAGATGTTAAGATGTCCCGAAAACAGGAGCACTTACAAAGTAAAAGAAAAAAAGTAGAGTATATGATTCAATTATGACAAAATGTGTATATTATCAGGCCAAAAAATATTGAAATATGCGATAATGTTGATGAAAAAATATGAAGACATAAATCTATAGTGTATTGAAATAGACCGTAATACTCTAGTGAGCAAAACACTGTTGCTGTCATTGTGAGTGTGAATATGCCTTATAGGTGTATAGGGGTCTTCCCACCTGTCTCTGACACAGTGACCTTTTGATGTTGCGTTTTTACAGTGTGGTCCAGTCAGTGCGGGGGCGGGGGGGGCGAGCTGTGCAGACGCCATATATGGGCACACCACCGACTCTGCATTGCTATTGGCTGTGGGCCTTATGCAGCTGCTTGTCAACAAGATGGCCTTCCTCCTCCTGCCGTTTTGACACTGATTATTTTGGTATCCCCGAGAACATACCGTAAAAGCTTGTGTCACTTCTAAATAGATAGTGGGAGAGCGACTGCTCAGAGTCCTAACAAGGGGGACAGTCAGCTAGACTTTGTTCAGATAACTGACAGGCACACAAGCGTCGATAGCAGCCATCACTAGAGGTTGATAACAGAAAGTAGCTGCTGGCTAATGTCGATGTTAGCCAGCGAGTGAGCTAGCCTAGCTACGTGGACACGGATAGTTTAACTCGTGTCACCTGCATTTAACCAGGCAAACTGGTTTGTTTGGAGTGAAATACAGCGAGGAAACGCTTGTCATCGACCGTTCATAAGGCTGTCTGTGGACATTAACGCTGCTAAGGTAAGCAGGTTAGTCAAATGTAGCGCTCAGTTTTTTTTTTTTTATCTTGTTAGCTTGCTAGCATGGGCTGTCATGTTATTATGCAGGTAAGTTGTGCTATTCAGTTAGCAAGCTCGTTAGCTGATCGCGGCGTTGTTTACTATGTGCAACGACCCGTTAATAAACTTGGTAAAGTGTGTGAAGTGACTAGAACCGTAGTTGGCCTGGGCCTAGTTAGTTAAATATTAAATGGACTGCTGGAGCAGCCGAAGAGCAGGAAGAGCAGGAACATTTCAGTACGCCGTTAAGCTAACTGTTCGCTAGTTGAGTAACCAGCTAATGGTTGGTCAGAGTCGATCAAAGGTGATTGCTACAATTAAGATTAACAATCAGATGCATGCTGTTAATGTGCTTTATGGTGTTTGTGACTGCACACTTGTTGGTTGCCAGAAGTTGGCATCATTTCAGTTAGTTTTGTAGGGTTATATATGTTTATTTATATATATATATAAAACAGAACCAGGCAAAGTAATGGTTAAGTGACCTGTGGTAATTAAAGAAATTGTAATCACAGTATTGACTATATATTAAGTTTTGCACATGCAAATGGACCTGCTGTTGGGTGATATGTGCAAATAGATAAGCCAAGATGAACTAGTCTAGAGTGATTTTTGTTTTGGGAAAGTAACATATTAAAATCCCCCGTTGTCTTTGCAATAAAATTGCCTGGGGTTTCTTGTTTGGTGGGGTGGGGGTAGAAGCAGCCCACTTACATACTATGAGTACTGTCTGAGTGATGTGATATCGTTAGCCAATGCATGGTTTGCCCTCTTCCTTTCAGATGTTAACGTAAGATAAAACACTATGTTGACACAGTAGCCTTTGTGATTGTAGTATCAAAGCTGACATCAAAGTCTAACCTGTGACGATGTTACAGCACAAACAGGCAGATGCTCACGCCGACCCACAGACAGCCCTGCGGGGCCACTCAGCCACTCTTTCTAGGTGTCCTGACAGAAAGGCTGCTGTAATAACGTTCCTAAGCAGACTGCTGGAGTGATGTGCTCAGCTCTATTGTTCTGGTGACAGTGTGCAGCAAAGCTGGCCTGCTGGCTGCGCTTCTGTTGCATTGTCTTCACAGGCGCACACGCAGAGAGGGAGATTGAGCTGAGACTTTTTTGGCATGCTTCTGTATTATCAGTCATCAGCTTTTGGTCTTCAGTCAGAAATGCTGACTGCGGGTGAGCTGGAGGATAGTATGAGGTGAGTTGCAGTGGCAGTGTTCAGTGTTTATCAGGCTGACTTTGCAAGTGTAGGTTTGGACCTGTGAGCTGATGCAAAAACAACACTAACGTTTAAGTCACAAGTGTTGAAATTGGTTCTTCATGTACTAATCCAATTTGTTAAATTTTAAATTGCCATTTAATGGGGATGTGGTTCTCGATGTGTAGTACTGTAAGCACCTAACATAGTGAAACCATTATCCTGGTGAGCGTGCATGCCACACTGCTCTGGATTTGGATAGGGAAATGACCCAGTCCAGCACAACTTCAGTTTTATTGTAAAGGGACAAACCTGTAAATCTCTCAATGTACCAATTGATTGTTGATTTTGACTGCAGCAGTAATCCATTTGCTTCTGCCTCACCAATGAGAAACCCTTTTGATTATGTAGACATATTTCACAATGTGAAAACTTCATCAGACTCTTCCAGACAGAGCAAGAATGATGTATGATTGAAGACATAATGTACATGTATATAGCTTAAATGTTGTGTCTCTCTCATCTGATCACTGAACACCACTGTTTAGTAGAGGTACACCCTCTGTTCTAACAGCTTCAGTAGCACCATCCCTGCGTGCTGTGGTAAAGTAGTTGTACAGGTTGAGACATCCTCCCTGCTGCCCACATTAAGAACAGCACAGTTCTCTTCTCTGTGTGTGGAAAAGGACCGGCCTGTAGGATTTAGTGGCATCTAACAGTGTAGTTGCAACCAATTGAATAACCCTCGCCTCACACTCCCCTTCCAAACATGTAGGAGTCCCTAAGGTGGGTGTGAAAGAAGGCCTATCTGGAGCCAGTGTTTGGTTTATCCATTCTGGCTACTGTAGTAACATGGCAGTGCAACATGGCGGACTCTGTGGCCCCCGTCTATAAAGAGCTCATTCTAAGCGGTCAGAAACACAACCATCCTCCTTTCAGGTGACTATACACTAGTGAAAACATACTATGTTCTCTTTCTGCCATATTCTGCCAATAGATCCCCTGCAGTCTTACACACTGGTCCTTTAAGTGTTAAGTAGTCTGTGCAGAAAATCCCCATTCTCATTTGATAGTTAATTTGTCAGACAGCTTGGGTACCCAATGATGCAGACCCTGGCGCTGTGGTGTTGCTGTAGTGTTGCTGTGGTGTCTCTGGCTGCCTCTGTACTCGGACAGGATTTTGAAGGATTAGGTTGAGGCAGAAAGCTTAAAACCAAACCCACGCCTTGATTTGCAGGAACTGTTTCAAAGGAAGAGGGAAAAAGTCAGTCAACTGTTGGAGTAATGCAAAGTGTGAACATTAAGACTCTCTGGCTGTGTCTGGATGGGACAGTCAGTGTTTAAGTCTCAGGAAGACAACATCAGGTGTCTATTAAGAGGGTGGTTGTTTTGGGTTTGTTTGTT